TTATATAGTTTTTTTATATGTTTTCAAAAAAAAACTATTTTATGCTATATTCATCTAAATAGTTATAAACTTTTTGGCTTTTTTAAAAATTTAAATAAGATTATATAATATTGCTTTAATCTTTTCTTATAATAGTTTTTTAATGCTTTTGAATTTACATTTAGTTTTTCTTTTATTAAAACTTTTAATAAGATTTTTTTTGTTAGTTCTAATTTACTTGTTTTTTTATAATTTTTTTTTAAAACTATTGTTTAAGCCAAATTGATAATCAAATTTCTGTAGTAGCCTATTTTTTTATATAAATTTTATATATTATTAAATGTTCTTGATTTTTTTTTGTCTTTATTACATAGAATGCAATATAAACTTTTGTATATATTAGAGTATTTTTTTAATAAAGTCTTTAGTATTAGTAGTATAAAACCAGAATATTATAACTGATAATATAAAAAATATATAAAATATAATAAATGCAATAAGTGTAATAAGTGCAATAAGTTATATTTATAATTAGAAACAATATTTCAGATCCAAATTGATAAATAGAAAATAAGAGAAAGAAATAAAAGAATATTAAATAAATATATATAAATAAACTTAATTAGTTTTAATAGATAATAATTGTAAAGTTATATTTGTAAGTAATAAATTTAGTATTATAAATAAAGACCAAAATAGTTCTTAAAAATAACTTGCTTTATTTGCTTTATTAAATAACAAATCTTAATATATTACATTGTATATAATAAATACTAATACTATTATTATTACAAATTTTGTAAATCTTTATAATTATTGTTGTTAATTCAAAGTTCTTTATTATATAACTTATCCTGATTGTCTTTATTAACTAAAAATAACCAAAAGTCTTAATTATTTACTAGCCAAATTTAATACACTCTTTTATAAAAGTTATCTATTATATATTATATGAAATTTAAAATTGTAAAATAACTAAGTTACAGTTTTCTAAATTCAACTATAGTTTTTTATTAATATAATTAATTAGTGTTATAATTTTTTTATTTTTTTTATACATATATATCTAATTTTATTTTGTTTTTAATTTTTCTTTATAATATTAAATAATTATATTTTTTTCTTCATTAGTTTTAACTTTTAAACTAATAATATAAATTTCTATTTTACACTAACTTTGAAATCTAAAGCATCTTTGATAAATTGTTTTATTAGTCTTTGATAAATATTTTTTCTTAATAAAATAATATGTTTAAACTTGATGATAACATATTTAATTTATTTACTATATTATTTCATTTATTAATATTATATAGAGTAATATTAATAAAAATAGAACAAATTTATTAGATAGATTTGTTCTATTTCTATTAATGTTACTTCATATTTTTTATTTTAACTAAGTTTAATTCTAACTCTTTAACTTAAATAACTTTATTGTATTTTTTTTTAAAACTATAATTTTTTCTTTTAATTTATTGTCTATTTATTTTTAGTTTTTTTTCTTTGTTAAGATCTAATACTATTACTATATTATTTATATAAATTTTAACTTTTTTTTTTTAATATTATTAAAAATACAAACCTGTTCCATGCCTCAATGCAGTTATTATAATAATTATTTGTAGTTAAAATGTACTATTAAACTACTACACAAACAAAGATATCTTCAAACTTAATATAATATCTTAATGTTATGAATATTGTTTTTTATAATTGTATTTATATATTTCACTCACATATTTATATAGTTTACCTAGTCTTGTTTCTTATGCCTTCTAATCTAACTATATTTAATAATACCTTATTTTTTACATTTATCATCTTTTTGTTACTATATATATCACTTTCAAATTGGTTCTATTTGGGTATGTCTGATCCTTATAATCTTCCATTTTTAATACGCCTGTTATTGTTTTTCCTAAATTTGACTGTATTTGAATTTAGTTAAATCCAAAATTTAAGTTACTAATTGTTAAAGTTTTATAAAAAAAATACAAATTTATTTGTTATATATTTATTGATTATTATTTGATGTTATTAATTGGCAAAAATGCTATTTATCGATTTTATTGGCTAATTATCATTGATATATATTATTTAAAAAACTTTGTTGATACAGTTATTTGTATGGCTATTATAATGATGAAAATAATATATATCAGGTGATTTCTAGTACGCACCTAAAGGTGACAACTACAAATAGCATGAAATAAATTTATTTTCTTATATAAAGTATGGTTAGAAGGATAACAATATAAATTATTTCAAATCCTTAATACCAAAAAAAAAAAAATAAAATAAATTATTTCAAATAAATACAAAAATAAGTGTCTAGACTAAAAAAAATGTCAGTGTTCTTCATGACTAAATGGTGATTTTATCACGAACTTAAGATTAAACAGTGATTTTATCACGAACTCAAGATTAATAGAGATTTTATCACGAACTTACGATTTAAATAGAGATTTTATCACGAACTCACGATTTAAATAGAGATTTTATCACGAACTCACGATTTAAATAGAGATTTTATCACGAACTCACGATTTAAATAGAGATTTTATCATGAACTCACGATTTAATAGATTATCACGAATTCACGATTTAATTGAAGAATTTAAACACGATAAATTATTTAAAACAGAGCGTGACGTTCTTCCAAAAGAATTAAAAAAAAAATCTCATCCCCATCTAAAAAAACTCCCCATCTAAAAAAAAATCATGAACTGATCAATCTAAAAAAAAAATCATAAACTGACCACATTAACCTCTATCTAAAAAAAACTCGTAAACTGATCATATTAATGGAATCATTACACAGTTGATGTTTACAACAACTTGCATTTTTGATAAAACTTTCACGTTCCTAACATTCTTAAATATATAATTAATATTAATTAATATTATTAATATTAAACAAAGTTGAATAAAGTTGAATTAGTAAATAAATAATAAATAAAATAATAAAATAATAAAATGAAAATAAAAATAAAAATGCAATTACAGTATAGAAAAGAGCGACTATATAACGATAAAAAGAGTGATTGTATAAAGATCGATTATATAAAAGATGAAAATGATTGATCAGGATTGAAAAAATATCATTTACGTACTAAAACGATTTCGTTATCTATCTAATTTTAACATTTACAGCATTATCGTTACTACCGAAGTTTTTTCTTATAAAGATCAAAAAAGTTAGAATTTGAATTATAACCAATCAAATAAACTAAACATGATGCGAAATGATATGCGTGTAACAATTGAACGCGCATTCTATTACGCTTGTTTTGGACAAATAGAACAGTAAATATTTTTGAAGCAAGAATCAAACAGGGAGATTTACTCACAAAAGAACGTTTAAAAAAAGAATAACAATCAAACCTCCATTGGACATGATCATCCTTAAATTTATTGTTAAAAAAATTGGTCTAATTTGATAAAATTTGATAAAATTGATTGATCATATGGATATAAACAAAGAGATAATTGAAGCGAATCATCAAGTGTTTTCGATCCGTAAAATAAAAACTCTTTAGGGATCATTCATGGATAAATATCACAGACAACTAGTGATACCTGATTTAGAAAACAACGAATAATAATTTAATACAGTTTCTTTAAAGCAATTAATCGATTACAAGCATGTAGTAAAAGCAAACTGTAAACACGACATGTATAATCACTGATGACATGAAACTCATTACTAAAAATCACAAGTAAATTGCAATAAATAATGACAGCTGATATGTAATGACAAAAATTAGAGTTTCTTAACCGTTAAATAAGTTAAATAACTAGATTAATTTAAACTAAATTTAACACTAATTTGAAAATAATAGATATATATTTAACAAAACATAAATTTATCTCATGCAGTCATAATTAGAGATACGTATCTTACAGTAATTGCAGTTATCATATATTCTCTCCGCCAATTTTTTTTTTTTTAAACAATAGTTTTAAAAGATCGAACATACATGAATTTTTGATTCTTACTATAATGACAGGCATAATGACAGACATAATGACTGTTCCATATAATGATAGACATAATGACTGTTCCATATAATGATAGACATAATGACTGTTCCATATAATTAATGATAATGATAGATGAAGGTCAAAATTTTACCCTGAAATTTAGCTGTGCATATACTTATTCGTTATACTGTGCAATTTCATTTGTTAAATTATCACGTACGATTTTTGAAGAGGAATCTACTTTTGAAAAGGTTTACAAAGAACTTACATATCGATAAAAAAAAAAAATTCAAAAACTGTCCTTACATGCATATGCGTACTACACTATCGCTATCTGACCAGTGGATCATTAAGCCCTGTAGGTTATTTGAGAATCCTTCTTGAAAAGTTCGATCTTCGTAAAGAATACTATTTATAGTATCGGTTCTTTGTATACACGGGGAATGATTTTTTCGTTAATGAAGGTCGATGAAGTTAACGAAAGTGCTAGAAATTCATAAATTAGCAATAATAAAAGAAATGAATAAATTTACATACTGTATAATGATTATTAAGAAACGGCATTGTCTTTTTTACGTAATACTTAAAAATCTCTTGTTTTTATATGACGCGTGAATTTTTAAGGAATGCACGCATGTAAGTACGTACGTATCTAACCGACCGATACTAAAAGTCACAAATTCTCAAGTTCCCACAATTTGACGATATGTATATACAAAGTTAATACTTTATTCTATTATAATTAATTATAATTAATTATAATTATAATCTTTTTTATTTGTACAAGATAACACTTTTAGTTTATTCTATTATAATTTTTAAAAAAATTTCACTTATTACCTCAATCATGAAGACATACAAAAAACAAATGTAAAACTCAAGAAACAATGATTATGTACAGTGCAAAAGAAAAAAAAGAACGGTGTTGTGGAGAAAGATTAATATACACGAAAATGTGTAAACGAATGTTCAAAGCCATTAATCGAAATAAAATAAAAAAAAAAAAAAAGTTTTTTTTTTTTTTTGAATAGATTTCATATGGTATTTTTGTTGTTTTTAACGTTCAACATTTTACATAAATATCTTCTAGCCAATAGTAAAGATGCAGATGGAGATTTGTTGTTATTAAGACGACGTTTTGGTTGATGAATTGTTGGTCGATCTTCATAAAGTTTCACATTTTTATCATTTACTTCATCAATTGAAACAATTGAAGGGAAGTTTTTAATGGCAATACATTCAGAAGAATCCATTATTTCATTGGTTCGATTTTCAGTTCGGTTTATTGTTAATGAGGGAAACTTTGTTTTTTGTTTAATAATGACGCGATTGGCGGCAGTAGAATTTATCAACTTAACGGACATACTACGTTTTTGTTTTGTTGAAGCTGAATAATAATGTCTTTTACTTGGAAAACTGTTTACATTTTTTCGTTCAGATTGTCTGTTTGGATTAAGTGCGGATGGAATTTGTGGACGATAACAATCTTTAGTCATGTCCTTTGAACCTTTATAAACCTCTGAAATTGAAGGAGGTCCAGAGAATTTATTGACAAGACGATTTGATAAATCGAGTAAAGATACGCCGGATTTTTTTAAACTTGGCATTTTCGGAGTGTATCTTTTCTTTGGTGCACTAAAAATTTTCAAAAAAAAAAAAACTTGAGTATAAAATATAATAACTTAAGACAAATTACAAGAAATATTAACAATCAAAATAATCAAGTATACTTACGATAACTTTGAAGAACGATAGTTTATATCAATAAGGGCCAAGATGCCACGGCCAAGCATTACACACCAGTTACCAAAGTCACGACTTCTATCGGTGGTGAACATTATAGTGGTCTGCGTACAAGTTGCACAGAAACATACAACAGAAAGTACGATGAAACAACAAAATGATATATAAAAAACCAGGTTATGTAAGAATAAAAGTTCTTTGCAAGCTTTTTGTTGAGTCAAATACGACATGATGAAAAAGATTTTTTAGAAAACTTATATAAGAAATTTTTTGATAATATTAAATATATAAAAAAAAAAATAATAATAATTCTATATATATGTATATATCGGGAGTTTTTTTAGACCCGTAACCCGTAAATTCTTTAATCAAAATTTAAAATTTTCTTGAAGTTTAAAAAAAAAAATAACTTTGGCTCTTTTGGGCTTCATATATATATTTTTCCCGCATGTGAATCCTGCAAGAAATACGCCAGGTTGTAATGAAAAAAAATTTATACAAAAATGTTTGTGTTTCATCTACAACAATAGGACAGGAAAAAACGTGACATTTTAGAAATTCTTGTTAATGTAATGTCATTAATGACGTTAATTTTTTTGTGTTGATAATTTGCTATTGTGTTATTTATAGTTGCTGATCTTACATATGAAAATCAAAAATCCATCGCTTATTCCTAACAATGCACATCTATTGTTAGTTGGTACGTATAATAGTCTTTATACAACAAAGGTATTGATATGCAATGACATAGTTTTGTAAATCTTTATTATTATTAATGGTATATTACTGTATTACAGATATTACCGATATAATATCGATAACATCGATATAATATCGATAATATTGATATAATATCGATAATAATGATATAATATCAATAATATTGGTAATGTCTATATAATTTGGATATAAATTGCTCTTTTGTTTTTGTTAATGTCCTTTGTTCACATGACCTAGTATTATTAACCTCTAAAAAGCGGATTATAAATCATCAGATGCAAGAAAGAGATGCAAGAAGAGTTAAAGATTTTCATATGTAGACCAACTTTTAATTCACACAAAATGGTTTTAATTCACGTATATGAAATTCGTGTTTTTGTAAATAAATAATCTAATAAAGTCCAATTACAGTATATAAAGTCTTAAATTTTTTTTTTCTTTGTCTGTACACCTTTGATGAAATATGTACCTTATCTTTTCGGTTAGCCTGCACGTTAGCAATTCAAAACCTGAAAACCTGAATATTGAAACTTTACTGTGTCAAATGTTACCGAATGTTACAGAATGTTACCAAATGTTACTAAATGCTATGAATATACAATTACAATCAAACTAAAATCAAGATTGTTTTCCCTTATTATAATTTCCATCAAAAGCAAAATAACTTTACTTATCTTCTGCAAGATTCGCCAAACACGAAAAAAAGAATTCTTTTATATCCTACTCCACAAATAAACATATACAAAAATAGGCAATCTTTTTCTTGCACATTAAATTACATATGACTTCAAATCAAAACTTGTGATTGAACGCGAACGCAATTCTAAAAAATTATAAAATTAGTAAAAAAATAATGCACTTTTTTTTCATCTGACCAATGATTAATTATTATTAAAAAAAAAAAAAAAAGCCAAATTACTTGAATTAAAATTTTTTTCCCATAAGCTTTTTTATACCGAACTGCGTCCGCGATTTTATTTGTTTATATTTTGGCGGGAATCTCTTTAATCAAATCTATTTGTTCTTATTCTATTAAAAGTTGTGTATGCAATAAATTAACTGTCACAGGAGTATGAGTACGTACAGTACGTACGAACCTTAACGTTAATGTGATCCTTTTATTACGTGCTATTAGTCTTTGTGATATAATGTGAATTTTTAATAATGTCACATGTCACTTTTATATATGCTGATATTATGCTAATATAGAAAAAAAAAGGTTAAGAATTACAATAAAATAAACTATTTTATGATATACAATTTTCAAAGATCATTCAGTGGGGAAAAAATTGGAGAAACAATTGAAAAATATCGTTGATATGTCAACGAATCGGTTTAAAGAATAGTGTCAATATTTTTATTGTTTGTTGTTTATGGCGGGGTAAAATATTAGTAATTAGGAATTTTCCAGTGTATTAGAAATTGAAGATAGACAGATGAACTATACCTAATATAACAGATAAGTAAGTACGTACGTACTTAACAGCTAACAGCTAATGTAAATCATAAAGGTATGTACGTACAGTACGTACTGTACAGTACATAAATAATATAAATAATCTATATCTGATATGTTATATGTATACGTATGAGTGAATGGTTCTCCTATTATGGAAATTTCTCGGTTTAAACGTTAAAGCCTTCGGTTGATTTAAGTAAATTACAGCGTACTTTACGTATTCGATTAAACCTTATTCATAAAAGGTTTAGATCTGTAAAAATATTTCTTATTTTGTGCATTTATATTAATATTCTAGATATTCTTAATTCAGTTGTTTATATGTTTCACTACATATTCTTCCTTTTTGAAGCTCTATAGTTCTCTTCTTTCGTTGCTAATCTGAATAAAAATATGACCACAGACCCAAAGTCTTGTCTTCCCTTGTTCGACTATTTCAATTAATATATGCATATAATAGCATAAATAGAATATATTTGGCACTTAATACTCTTTCCCGGTCATTTTATCGCTGCCTAAACTAAATTTATTGAATTGGCGCTCTTACGTTTATCCATTTTAGCACGAGGTGATCGAATTTTTTATTAGGGCCTCTGAGCTTTGCATATCCATCTAAATATCGTAAATTTCTTATGCTTTATATTACTATTTATAGTCTTGACGTGCATGCCATGTTTTATATTGAATCTATCTTCTATTGTTCTTTTGTTTATTACTACTTCATTACTTTATTACTATTTTATTACTACTTTATTACTATTTTATTACTACTCGCGTGATACGAACTTTGCCTTGACCTTTAATAATTATTGTACTATTTCATTGTTTATATAATCCTTTTGTAATTTATTATATTATTCTTATTTACTTTGCCTTTATTCCGTTATTCTGTTCTTTCGGAATTTTGACCCTGAAGTCTTTTTAACGGATTAGAACCTCCGTTTACGTATAATTTCTTAATTTCTACTTGTGAATAAAGTCTTATTTACATTTAAATATTTTTTATTGTCTTGGAAATTAAAATTTGATCAGTTAAACAATACTGCACAATTCATTTTTATACTACCTTATTATCTATACCTTATCCATACCTTATCTATACCTATCTATACCTTACATATCAATAACATTTATCAAATTTTATGTTAATTAGTTTAATCAATTCTAAGAAATTTATTTATTTATATGTAATAAATGTATATACTGTACATTATTACTATTATTACTGGTTTATAAATATTTAAAAACCAATTTTACGTATCCTCTAAAAATCAAATTTCATTTCATAACTTAGTAGTAGTTTATTAAACTCTCAATAGTTTCTACTCGTTCATATGACCGTAACACAATCAATCGTCTATTAGTTAATCTAACGTTAATTTGACAACAAAATAAGGTTTTATACAACTTTAAAAATCCAATCTCCATTGATACATTGTGTCATCAGTGATTGGCGGTTGATTATTACGTAAGATCTGCGAACGAACAATCAATGAATTTAATAAGCTCAAAAAATATTCGGTAATTAGCCAAAGCATTCTTTGATTAGATCATATGAGTGCTTTGTTTACAACTTTTTATGCGGAATACAGTTTTTGGATACATTAAGTTTTCGGTTTTTTTGATCGTCGCACTCCTGAGATACCTTAAAGAATACAACTTATTTTAATTATTTCTTAAAAGTTTCAAAACCAAAAAATGGTCTATAAAGTGTTTTTTTTTGAAAAAAAGTTGTATATTTCTTTTATCTGTAAAATTACTTAACTATATTACAAAATATATAAGTATAATAACATTGTTAATAAAAGTTTATTAAAATACTACTAAAAGGTATTAAAAGTTAAAATTAATATTTTTATCAATTAAAAAATTATATTATATATTAAATATAAAATGTTATAAATTTATATTAACTTCATTAATATTAAAACCATTTATATTAACTTTTGGTTATAATTTTCTTAACAATTATTAAACCAATTAATTAAAAATTTTATTGAAATATTATAATATTAAACTACAATATATTAAAAATTTTATACAATTTAAATTAGTAGTTATTAAGAAATTACTCAAAAGTCATAATTTTTTAATAAATTTATTTATAGTTTTTAAGTAATTTATTAAGAACTACTAATTCAAATTGTATAAAATTTTAGTATATTGTAGTCTAATATTATATTTATTTATATTAAAATTTTATTTATATTAAAATAATTTATAATATAATATTTAGTTTATATTTTAGTTTTGTTTATAAAGACAAATTAGGTTTGTTTGTTTTTTAATTAAATTGAAAATATTCAAACTTGTTAATGTTTGAGTTTTAAATTTTTTTTTGTTTTTATGTTTTTGTTTTTGTTTTTAGTATTAAAACAGCTATATAAAAACTTTAAATTTTTTAAATATATTTACACTATGTTAAAAATAACTTAATAATCTGTCTCTATATAATTCTAAATAATTAACTAATTAAATTTAAAATTAATAATTATTAATTTTGCATTTTAAAATTTTTTTTAAAATTTTTTTTTACTTTATATACTTATATTTATAATAATACAAATATTTTATTTTTTATAAAATTATCATATATAATAAAAGTTATTATAAAAAAATAAACTTTAAAATATTTTTTAATCAAAATTTTATAAAATTTTATGTTTATTATATAGAAATAATATAAAAATTTTTTAATAGTTTTTTTAATAATATCTTAGCAATTATATATTCAAATTTGATAAAAATTTTTTATTTATATTCTACAAATCTGTAGAATTTAAATAATAAAAAATTTATTGAATTTAATTTAGTTATTAAGATATTATAAATAAAAGTTAATTTTTTAAATTTTAAAATATCTATTATATAATACTTACAGTATATTAAAATTTTTATTATAACTTTAATTGAAGA